ATTTGTGGGGTCACTAGGAGTTGACACAATTTGATGGCACATTCATTTCTTTACACATTTTTTTTACCTGCCCAGAGTTACCTGTTAAAAATATATATGGTGTCCGTATACATTTTCCATGTAAATAAATAAAATTTAGGGGAAGTCAGAAAAATTACCACAGGCAGCCTGATCAACTAGCTGTTCAAAAGAAATGCCCTTCTCTGCCTATTACGGCGTATTAAATTATGCTTTATGTCATCATAAGTCAGCCACATACTATCAAAGAACACTGCATTACCTGTAATACGTCAACATTAAAATATTAAACACTTTAAAATTTAAAACGACCCAATAGAGATCTGTACAAGATTTGGATACGCTTGGATGAGATCCTATGAGATTTGGGCAATTTTTAATTATTTTTGTTTAATGTTTAAGATCAACACATAAAAAAAAAAGTTAAATTTACTGTGGGGCAGCTTGACTATTATGCAAAATTACACATCAGCACCTACCATACTGAAAGGATGCTGAGCCCTACATAATACATAAATACATGTTAATATTTAACGCTCACCAAGACTCTTGTTTTCAAAGTATCAGACTATTAACCTATAAAGAGATGGTTTGGTATATTGGGGAAGGTCCTGGGCTAGAAACAAGGAAAGCCAGTTGGGTGACATTGGTCCAGTCGCCCTCAGTCAGCCCAACCCACCTCGAAGGGTGGTTGTTAGGGGGAAAATAGGAGGGTGAAGCATTAGATATGTACACCACGTTGAGTTGACCAAAAATAAAGGCAGGTTTAAAAATCTAATAATACATATATTGATTTACTTACCTGCCTTTCTGTCCAAAGGCACTTAAGCCAAATAATGCAAAACACTTCTTGAAATTCCTATAACTAAAGGAGAATATTCATGTATCAAACGTATTTTTGGCTCCAGATGTATTTGGACTCCAACTCTCAGAATTCCTAGTGATCGCTGTTGGCTAGTAAAGTCAGATGCTGGAATCGTTTTGTCATAAACTTTAACAGCAAAGTCATACAGCGAGTGGCTACTTTCCATTTATTTAAAAATTCACACGTAGCACAAGACTTTTTTCTCACTAGGTCTAATGGAATTTAGTTCCTCATTAAGCATGTTTGGAACTGCAGCTTTAATTTCAAGATACCTCTCCACTGTTGTTCTATGCATCGATCTTCAGGGTCAAATAACTCTCTCAAACACGACAAAGACAATCTCTATGGATTTATTATCATTTCCAAAACACCAAGATAATGAAGCTGCATCAAAGAAGTAGCTGATGGAGGCCAGACTTTTACAGGAATTCCCCCCACCACCTAACAAAAGTAGTAAATGATGGTAAAACAACTGTGCAGTTACAAAACACATATTTATGGAGGTTTTTGAGAAAAATGGGGAAAAAAATCAATGGGAAATCAGAAGAGTGACTTGGATGTATGGATCAACGCAGAAGAGGGACAACTTTTTTATTTTGACTTACAAATTTTGACTTACACTTATGAAGGAGTTTCTGAGCAAAGAGAAAGACAGAATGAAAAGAAATCAGCGTTTAGGTCCTTACTTAAAAGGAATAAACATCAAGGCTTTTAAAACCAAAAAGGATTATAAAATCAATTTGTTCGATCAAGGGTAAAAAATAGTTTTTTCTTCTAGCACATTTTAATGGATTTTTCTTGACCGGGACTGAATGATGAGACCTTAAAGATTTACTATTAAATAAGATATGGGGATAAGATATTTTTTTGTTTTATGATGAGAAAAAGTGATGGGTTATGATGTTAAAATTGAGAGTTAAATTTGCAAAGGAATTCCTGAGAGGAAACAAAAATAAGAAATTAATTTGTGGGATATTATTTGAAGGTTTAAAGATTTAAGATTTTTTGGTAGCTCTTAGTAGAATTTTTGTTAAGTTTGAATGAGCTTTTATAGGTTTGCTTATACGTGTAAGATAAAATATGGAAAGAAGAGATTTTTTTGTTGTATTTTTAGAAAAAATAAGGTACTTTGTAAAGGAAATGAAATTTGTTTAATATTAATATATAATGCGTGTGTGTGTGTGTGTGTGTGTAGTCTTTTCTTCATATTTCTTTTCCCTCCCCTTTTTTTCTTCTTTTCCCTTTGCACTTTTTATATTTCTTTTAGTTTGTATTAGTTTATCATCTCTGTATTTTTAAACTTTAACAAAAATCATTATTAAAAAAGAGAGGAAAATGGGAAAAAAGGCCAAGACTACCTTAATCACAGAATTTTGGCTTAACTTGCTGCATATAAACCTATCCTTTATGGTTTTTAAACCATAGTCCAGATTTATACATACTGAGGCAGAAGCTCGTGCTCATGTGCATTATTCAATACTTCATTATCAAACAAGCCATAGTTAATTAAGACTGGGTTCATTCACCCCCAAACCATGTCTCCAGGATAAAAAAGACAGGAGGAAAGGGATCGTTTCTATCTTGATAAGCCGCCCAGAGTTGTGCTTTAAGAGAGGTGGCCACCCAAATCTTTTAAATAAATAAATATTTTTTAAAAGTTTCCCTCGTGGAGTAAGTAGAGTCGGAAAGGACCTTAGAGGCAATTAGACCAGCTCGACGCCTGCTGACTTCACGTAGTCTCCCAGGCAGCCACACCTAAGTTAAAAGAAGCGATCCGCCACCGCCCTCAGCCTAGCCTGCAGCCCGGGGATTTCCTCGTGGTCTCCTCTCCGGCCACGAACCACGCCTCCTCGTGCCGGCTTCGGAGCCCGGCCGCAGTCGGCCGGCGGAGAGCCACGCCGGAATGGCGGACAACAAAGGCCCCCGCGCCCTTCTGCCCCGCGACGGACCCTGCGCGGCGGGGGCCCCGGGCAGCGCGACGCGGACCTCCGGGCGCA